TAGATATAATGACAGTAGAGTATATATTTTGACATATTGTATATACATGGAGGATGAATTTCCATTCTAGTGGTTGTACATGATATGGGGTTACACTGGTTGTGCATTCATATATGAACATAAGAAAACACATCCAATCCATTAATTTTGTTGTGCCAAACTACAATATGATATGATTTAATCATAGAAAGCCACAATTAGACTATCTTCAATATTTAATAATACTAATCTATATACAAGATTTCTGAAAATACAGAGTATGAAAATATTTCCCTTTGATGAGAAAATTGTTTATATTAGAATCACTGAAAAATATCTAGACATAGATGTAATTATTCACTGAAGAAAAGTAAATATTTTTGTAATGGTGGATATACCAATAATCACTTTGGTACTATAATAACTTTTTTAAATTGATACACAATAATTACACATATTTATGATGTGCAGTGTTCCTGATTCATGTACACAATGGATAATGATCAGACCTGAATAATTAGCATCTCTATCAAAGTTTAAATTTTAATCATTTCTTTATGATGAGTACATTCAAATTCCTCTGAGCTAGCTATTCTGAGATATTATTAACTGTATTCACCCTACTATGCCTGGTACTGTGACATGTCAGTAAATCAAGAACCATATTTTGAGTAAACCACAAAAGACTAATTTCAATTTCAATTTCAACTGGCTGAAGTCCAGTAACAAAATGTTTCTTTTGCAAATTAGCTCTTTTTAGTTTTTAGGTTTTTTTACTTAAATATCAATTATCAGTATGAGTCTCCGTAAACTGATGATTACTTTATATATGAATTATTTATATGACTTACTATCCCTAAAGAAGTCTTACCTGCATAACTTTCCAGTTTATTGATATTTTTGAAAGGCACAGTTAGCATTTTAACACTGACATATTATAAAATTTTATGAAAATTCCCTTACTTTCTGTCAGCACTCTAGAGGAGACACAGGAAGGCATGCATCATCATATTTCCCCTGTTAAAAACTATGGGCTAAAAAAATCCTCTATCCTTCTTCATTATGAATGTAAGACCACTGGCATTGCAGAAATTTTTCTTGACCAATCACTACAAAACTTCTAACTACACAAAAAAATTAACTTATATTCATTGGACTTTAACACAAGTGCAATGGTGAGGCACCCATATATGATATGTAGGTATTAACAAAAGAAGCAAGGCCCAGAGGCAAGCAGGAGGAGCTCGGAGACATTGATGGACACATGAGAGAGTGTTACAGTACCTGACAGCCTGTGAGAGCAAGAGGAGTAAGAGAGACCAGGTAAGAGAGCGCTCACGGTGTGAAGGAGGAGCGGGACGCTTTTAGTGGCAGGCAAAGCCTCAGAAAGGTAGACACAGTTGCTGATAGACTGGCTTCGCTTAGCTTCCAGGAGAGATAAAGTAATAATTATGTCAGAAGCATTATCAAGAACGTTCACTACTTTTTTATTACTATTTTTCTGGTCTCTCTTTAAATACTTCAAGGAGGTCATTTTAAACTTTAAAGGAAGTCATACAAAGTACTTTATTAAATTGTAGTCTCAAAATACAGCCAACTTTCAATTGCCCTGATAACATAGAAGAATAAACAATAAAAAAATCAATTTTATTTTGGAATGTTTTATATGTTTAGCATCTTTTCTTCTATTGTGTATCAGATTCAAATTTGGGTTGATTATTCAGTCAGACATTACAATAGTTTTTCCCTTCCTAAAGGACACACACAAAAAGACACAGTGAGATAAATCTGGCCTAAGATTAAAATTCTTCTACAAGTAATAAAAAAACTAAGAAATTGGTTTGCTGAAAGCTGACTGTATTCAAAAGCAAATCATCTAATAGATTAAATATCCTAAAAGCTCAAGAATGCGTGACAATCAAGTTGAAATTACAAGATTTGTTATTTGAATAAAAGGTAAAATCTCCATGAAACCTACCCTTTTATATCATATTTCCTGCTTATTAAATCCATAGTTTATTAATATCAACTTTATGATGTTCTTAAGTTTTCTGTACACCTCTGGTCAAATAAATATTTGAGAAAATGGACAGATACAGGAAGAGAACATGTTTCATATATATAAAACCAAAGTCAACAAAAATCCATTTCATCCTTAGAATATAAGGTTTATTTGATGTTTTATTTTATGTATCTTTATAAATCATGAATAAAATAATAGTGACAGATTTGTAAAAAGTGAAACAAACTTTTTAGTTTACTGTTCCTTCTCCCATTCTTTGCCTATTAGAATTAGTAAAAGGATGATCTGTAAAGTGATTACAGTATAATTTACATTTGTGTGAAGATAATATGTAAATGACAACATCCATGTAAATGTCAAACCCACTCACTTTAAATTTCTTAGTAGATTTGCTCATCTCTCAAAATGTTGGAAACTTTTTGAGTGTTGTTTAAAAGTTTTCCTTTTATAAATTAAATGTTTAGGCATTTCTCTAAAATTGATCACTAGAAATTGTAGAAGTAATAAAATATAGGATATTTTTATATAAAAATAAAGACTTGCTTTGATTTTTGTCACATTTTAGGAATCCAAACTCATCATCATTCATACTTAGGGATAAAGTTTTCTTTTGTAAGTTTTCCTTACTTAAGACTCCTTGCAGGCCTTTAAAGTTATAACCTAGTGCACTCTCTAAACTAATTGTCATTTTTCCACTTTGCAACTGCTTATTTTATTTTTCCCTCATGTTACCATCAGTGATATTTTCTCTACCTAAGAAATCTGTAGGGAAAATCATTATATAATACTCTTAAATCATCTCTTATTGCAATTAGGGAAAGCAAAGTCACTTTCAAATGGATCTTCCATAATTACCATTACTATTAAAATGATTACTACTAAAAGTAGTAAAAATAACTTCATGAGCTGGTATTCTCTCATAAAAATGTGGCTTCCACAAAAAATAAGTGCTTCCATGAAAATATTTTGGGCTTTTTTTTAATAAAAGGTGAGTTTTTATATAACATAAAAATAAAACTGAATGCCGGGTATGGTGGTACAGGCCTATAATCCCCAGTGACTCGGGAGGCTGAGGCTGGAGGATCACAAGTTCAAGGCCGGCCTCGGCAACTTAGCAAGGTTCTAGGCAACTTAGAAAGACCCTGTCTCAAAACAAAAAACAAAAAGGGCTGGGGATGTAGCGCAGCTGTAGAGTCTAATTTCCAGTACCAAAAAAATAAAACTGAGTAAAATCACAACATTTAGTTCATGTAATTTTAAAAAACATCATGATATAATAAAATCCTTAAAGGCCATTTTTTTAGAGATAACAAAATAATTCATGATATTTTATATTTTTCAAAAATTAAAATGAAATAAAAAATGTATGTATATATGTACATAGATATAGATTTATAAAGATGATAGATTTATCCAGCTGAACATCTTCATAATCTTTCAAAGGCTACGACTCTTACCTTCTAAAAGTCTAATTAATCCTATAGAGGCCAAGCTTATGGTTTTAAAAGATATATTCTATAAATACTTTCACACGATTTTGTACAAGTACTTGATTTTCTAATGCCATGGCTTCTCAGACACCTGAAAGGGCTAATAACAACCTCACTGTCATAACTGCTCTAAGTATTTTCTAAAGCATGCTGATGCCTCTACCATATTGTTGGTTTAAAATACCTGCTGATTGTTAAGATGCCATCTCTTTAGTGTCTATGTTTCGGCGAAGTACAGTCATATGGAACATCTGATGTACAATAGTTTGTTCCTCATTAACATGTGAGAATAAAATTTAAAAATCATAGTTTTTAATTTGTTAAATTCACTTTTATTATAATTCAAAGATGGTAGGGAAAGCAGGAAGTCTGGACAGCTCAGGCAGGATTCCACCTTTATTTGTCACACACTTCTGATCTTTTTCTTTAAGGATCCAATGGTAGAAGAAAGGAGTGTTTAGGAATTAGAATTAAAGGGAAATCAGTGAATGGGCACACTCAAAACCGCCTGTTATCAGGAATTGGGTCTCTCCTCAGAAGAGAAAATGAAAGAAAACAGGGAGACTATGAGAGGTATATAAATAAGGTGATAGTTACCAGCAAATGCTATGGCAAAAAGCATGAGAAAGTTAGGGTTAAGGCATATCATATTTTCATAAAAATGCCAACAGGACCCTAAACCATGTATACTAATCTTTTAGTAAGCACTGTAAAGTATGTTCAGCTTAACTGAATCCTTGCTTTATGGCCAGAGGATCTGATGATTTCCTGAAATCAATAAGCTGAGTATCAATTATAATTACATGGCATAATTGATCATAAAAACTATAGGAAACTGGAATACAGTTGTTTGAAACCTAAGGTACAGCCTCAAAGTTAACGGGGAGGAGGGAGCTTTATTGGTCTTTATTAAATATTGGATACGAGTTTCCTTTTAAAAGATTTCTCTCTTTATTTTAAGAGGAAAATGTTGCAAAGCAATTTGATTAACTGGGAGCTCTTGGTCAAGTTGTTAATTCAAATAGACTATAAAGACAACATCTATAGGAATGAAAAGATCAATTTTCTAAGGAAGCAAAAAATGAGAATGTCTCCATCCAGTCCTGAAAACTAAGAGTATTTGTCTATTTTTCTTTGCCAGAACCACTTACCACACACTCTTTAGATGAACACTGTTTAACAATGACAATAATGCAACTAATGATAGATTTGTTAGGAATCCACTTTCTTCAAGGTTCAAACAAGACCACTATTTTCTCTATTTTGCACAAATATCTCATTCAATATTACCATCTCCAGTTCTTTTCATAATGGAGAACTTAGAAATATTGAAAACTGTGATATGAAAAGTAGCCTGAGCAGAAAATTATAAAGATACAGAGAATTTCATTTAATAAAAGTGCTAATATTTGAATTCTGGGTAGAATTTTAAAATACTGTATTCCTATAAACCCATTTTAGTTAACAATTAGATTTTAAAGAAATATTTAAATAAAATAAATGTTTACCAGTTGCTTTCTGGCGAACAATATTCCTTGCCTTTTCAACTCCTGGTGCTCCAGAAGTGGTGGCACTCCTAAATCGCATTGGCTCAGTCACATCTGGGTGGCTCCGCCAGCTGAGAGAAAAAGATCTCCCCACAGTTGTTCCTTTCTGAGAATCTATAACACAGCCTGATAAATGATAAGGTGAGAAAAATAAACTGACTTCATCATCATTTATTTCACAGCTGGTGCAGCTCAGCAAATGGCATATATACAATGAAACATAACTAGCAGGTTCCCATGCTCCAAATTAGGTAATATTTCCCCATACAGCAATTTAGGAAGTTATTATAACTAAATATTCCTGTTGCCAAAGTATTTTCAATTATCTTGGAAAATGTATCTTCATAGTATTCATTTCAGTATACAAAGATATTAATAAATCTTTCTCAGTACAAAAACATCAAATGATGTTAAATCACAGTTCCCAGGACACTTCAAAAACAAATACTTACAAACCAAAAACCAGAGATCATGATGTTAGAATAGTACTACATCCTCTAGGCTCCAACTGTTCCACAATCCTCTAATAAATATATGCCTATAAACTCTAATGTAGATTTGGTCAAATAAGCAAGATAATAAATAAATAAATAAATGATATATATTTATTATATATTTTATATTTTACATATATACACACACATATATATATGTAAAATATAAAATATAAAATCATATTTTAGAAAAAGCTCTTAAAACTATAAGATTCTGCAGATTGTATTGAGATTCAACTCAACTTTTTGAGATTCAACTCCTTTTCTCTCGTATTTCTCTGGTCAATTATTTCAATGAAAGGTCAAGGATCCAAAAGAAAAATAAGAGGAAAACAATAAGGAACTTGAGATTTTTGCATAGGTCTGATGTGGCCAGTGGTTGCAATCTGTAGCTTATTTCCATACCCAGGTTCTTCTGTCTGTGTTTTCTGGTTTCACTGGTCTAGTGAAAGGTAATAAATGTTTATAAGGTAAGTGTTTCTACAATGAATATTTAAATTTTTACAAGAAATACTTAAATCTCTCTTTAGAATAAAGCAATATAAGTTAGAAATATGTGTCACGGTTATTATTTAAATAATTTGTTCTTAACTGTTCTGGAAACAGTGTTTTTAAAATTGTCTTCCTAAGGATATCTCTTCATGTTTGCACAGTGGGAGGGAAGAGAATATTGCAGGGTGGTGAATATGAGTATGAGTGTATGAGTGTGTGTGTGTGTATTATAAGGATTTCAGGAGGCAGGGAATGGGGTTAGTTTGAGAAAATAAATCTTTATTTCTTATCTCAGCTCTTTCCCTCCCCCACCTGAAAGGTGCTTTTAGCTGGTAAACTCTCTGCTGGGCCTAGATCCACTGTGTTAGGAAGCCAAGTTCCCAGTTGGAAGAACCCAATCCTCTCAGGCTCTGGTTTACACAGAGGACCTCAGAGCTGTGAAAGAGGACAAGAAGGAAGGAAGACAAGGGCCCAAACTCTTGGCTTTCTGGCTTACTTCTATCCCAAATCTTTAATATAAGTTATTTCGGAAAGAGATTCTGTTGAGCTTAGAAAGTGGAGAAAAAAGGATCTATTACTAAAAATATGTTAGAAAAATAAATGCACTACACATTCTAAATCTAAACTGAGATTAAACTGTTCCTACGGAATGCCATGTACTTAAGCTACTTTGTTGTGGCTTCTTACTGCCTTGTTTCACTAACTGGGGCTTTGGCAAGCTACTCTCAGACTGCAATAAATATATTGTAAGAATCAGTTCCAATTAATTACATGTTACATAGTTAACCAATCATTGTAATTAGCTCACACTTCCCCATATCCGCATCCCCTGTTGTCCTTTCCCACACTAATCCTGCAGGCTTCATCATGTGACTTATTTTGGTAGCAAAATTGAACAAGCAGAGACTTGAAATGCTCTGAAATAATTGAGCTTGCCCCCTTGCTGCTCCTGGAGCCCTAAACCATCATCTGAACAAGCCCAAACCAGCCTGCAGGGTAGTGAAATATGGTGCAGTCACATCCACTGCCCTGGCTGACAGCTACCTAACTCTTAGAAGTAGAGCAGTCTAGCTGACCCTTGCACAGCCTAATTTTCTCCAGAACAGGAATGGATCAAGCAAAGACTAACAGAGTAAATGATCAACTGAGTGCTATCCAAATTGAAAATTCATTAAGTCGTGTTATATTAAGGCACTAAATTTTGGGGGGAATTGTCACATGCAACTGATACAGTCTATATTAAGGTTATTATTGAGTGTAGTCTATTATAATAAGTCATATGTACTCTTTTTTAAAATATTTTTTAGTTGAACATGGAAGCAGTGTCTTTATTTTGTTTATTTACTTTTATGTGGTGCTGAGGATTGAACCCAGTGCCTCACATGTGGAAGGCAAGTGCTTTACCACTGTGCCATACCCCAGCTACTTCATGTGTACTCTTGATGGGGCTTTGAAGGAGAAATTTCTCCTGTCTTAGGATCAAACTACATATCACCTAAGGAAGTGAACTGTTTTTACTTTATGTACTCTGTGATTCTGTATATTATAACACTGCAAAAATGAAAATCAAATCCAAGGATGCCCCTTCCCTACCTTCCCAGCAAGCATATGAGGCTCTACAGCGTGCAATTTGGTATTATAACCATACCTGTAGCTCCTCCCTGCTCATTTTGCCCCATTTCTTTTTACATTCCATCTACTGTACTATATGCATTCCTATGAACTGCCTCAATCTTTACAGAATAAGTTGGAGTACAGATGAGTTTCCCTTGGAAGCATTCAGAATTTTTCCCAAAATTTTCTCAGAAGGCAAACAGCTACATCTTAGTGGTGTAGGACTAATCTTGAGTAGGACTAATCTTGGCTTTGATTTTGGTCTTTATCACTTCTTATGTGATCTAGAATGAATCAATCACTATAAAGTCTATGTACTTCATTTTTTTTTTGGTCTATGTTACCGGGATAATAATAATATCAACTTTGTAGAGTCATCATGATGGTGAAGTGAGATGACCTTCAAAGAACTGGCCATTATTATTATTATTGTTAGTTATCAATATTATCACTGCCACTACTTCTGTCTCATCTTTCTCCTTCCACAGCCTCTTCAGAAACTTGTTGGTCACATTAAGGGAACAGAGTAATACGAGACACAATCTAATGCCACCATTAAAAAGATGTTATTTGGTTAGTTCAGTTCATTATGAAATGTCATGTGTTGATTGCTTCAATGTATAAATACACAATCTTTCCCAGTTCCAGGAATTTGGTGCTACCCTGGGAGAGTGGAAGTACCTTTGCCTCGTTGCTTCTTCTCCTTTTGTTCACTTAATTTATCCAGAGGTAGGTTTGTCATTTCAACTCCGTAAACAGTTCTTGCAAGCACTGCTGTCAAAGAGTCCATTATGTTTGCCCATTCACTGATGAGCTCCTCCCATTCTGTGAGGGAGGACAGCACACCAAGAAAGTCATCCCAGAGCTCTCGAGAAATATACACATAGAGGTTTGCTCGGATCCAAGCCACGATGAGAGTCTAAACCAACCAACAAGAGAATACAATTGGGAGGAAGTATAATTTTTAATAAAATATTTTAAGTTACTACTAATAAAGTTTTAAAACATAAATACTCTTGGATGTTGTTTTTAACTGATCAAAAATCATTTGGCAAACTGTAACCAGGATTTGAGTTTCTGTGAGGTCAGTTACCATTATGAACAAAGCTACTGACCTAGTATTATTCTAGAGCAGGGGGTTGGCCCTGGCTGTAATTAGGGAAAAGACAAAGCCCTCAGTATAATAATTATTCTGTTCCTGAGACAGTTCTTTCCCTTGCTCTCCAGTGACTACTTCTCCTCCTTTACCTATAAGTGAACTCAGCCCACCATCGCCTCCCTGATTTTTAGCAGATGGGCTCACTGAAGACCTCAGAGGAAACAACCCATTAAATGAGACTCACTTCAACTTCAGTCCACAAGAACTATGCTCTTACCTGAATTCACCTAGCTTAGACTCCACCTGTGGGTTGTCTTCCAAAAGGAGCTCCTGCTCTTCTACATTTGCCCCCACTTAAGCTCTGGACCTCTTCCTCAGAGTTTTTCTGCTTCTATAACCTCACCGTTTTTTATTTCCAACCTAGCTAACTTTCTCAGCTTTTGCCCATCAGTATTTAATTGTGCTCCATTTTTCCTAACCTTAAAAACACAAAACATTTTCCTTGAACCCAAATTCTCCCTATAGCTATAGCCCTTTTCCCTCCCCCTTTCAAAGCCAAACTTCTTGAAAGAATGTTTCACATGTACTGTCTGATGCTCTGGCAGATCCCTCTCTGCCTCTTCATTCCATTCCCAAGGCTTCAGTTACCCTCTGTATGCTGTAGACTTCTGAATCTCCATGTCTAGCCCTGATGTCTTTGCTGGTTTCTGCCTATTTGTTTGCTTACTAGAGAGCTCTCTACTCATATGTCTCACAGGCGCCTATAGCAGAGCATGACAGTGAAAAAATTCAATGTCTTCCACTGAGATTCTCCCATTTCTTCGACCTGCTCTCTCCTGCTCTTTGCCTTTGCACACACTCTTTTTTCTCTGCCTTCCCTTAGTTTTACCTCTTTAACTTCCACTTATTTTCCAGGTCACAACTTGGATATCTCTTCTCCCAAGAAGATATCCCTGACAAATTATATATAGATTTTTGAAACTACAACCCTTTTTTCTTTAATTCAAACATAGGAAGACTTTGAGAAATAAAAATCTAGCAGGTCTAGTCTGACCACTTGGAAATAATATTTAATGTGACCTTTTGCAATATACCTGTTCTTTGTGCTTTAATTTATGTTTATTGCACTTCTTAAAAGGGAAAATGTCAAAGTAGAAGTAAAATAGTTAAGTATATCGAAAATAAAATTTTTAAATACCCATTTAAAATCTGATACTAATGTGAATGTTTTTGAAAACTAAAAGAATGTGAAAGAAAAAATTTTATTAAATATTTTTTATGACTGAAATGCTATCACCTATTTATTTTTATTCTCTTTTCAAAGACTTCAAGATCATTACCATAAAATACATGTATATAATAAATTATTAATACTGATCCAATAGTAAATATTGATCTAATAATAAATATTGATCTAATATTAGATCAATAAATATAATCTTTGCAAAGTAAGAGGAAAGAGTAGAGACCCGTATTGACATCACCCTTGGCTATAATAGTAGCCTCAGGGATAAAACCAGACGTCTTGGTGTAGTTAGATTCCTTTCTACACTGCGAATTTTATTTTGGCTTCACTTTATTGACTAATTATAAAACAAGGGCAGAATGACTTCATGCAGCTTATAAAATTCATCTTAGCAAATATTACAAACATGTATGCAGACCTGTTGAATCATTAGCAAATTTATAACAGCTCTTGCACACAGAGCAAAGTCATAAAAGATAACTGAGGGAGGGGAGTGGTGACATCTTTGAATTAAAAGGCAGAGTCTGCTTTTAATTACTCTTTTATCAAAGAAGGAGGAAAAGAGAAGGCCCCAGCTCTAGGTTTTGCCATTACCTTTCTTTGTGACCTGGGGCTAGTCACTTGGCAAGTCTCATTAAAAATAAAAAAGGTGGATAAGAACACCTCTTAATTCTGTCAGTATTGAAATTCAATGTTTTATGAAATATAACTTAGCACAGAAGTTGCATAATAAAACATTTTGCCTCATAAGTCACTCCTTTTAGGTACATTTGCTAATCAACCACTTCCTACCTCTCTCTGCTTACCACCTTTAAAAGCACTCTTAATTGTCAAGTAATGGATCTAACTATAAATAGCAGGACCATAGTTTTCTGATATACCTTCACAGCTTCATGCATAAGTTCGTATTTAGAACTGAAAAAAGGTTAAAATATCATGAATGGTAATCACTATTAATTAGTAAATATTTAAAACTGAGTCAAAATCAACCTAGAGTATCTACTGACGGAGAAGAAAAAAAAAGTACTAAAGGAAAATTTAGTAAAGGATAGATAGAAGGATAATGGCTACTTAAAATCTTCTTTCCCCTTTTCAAATTGTTTAAAAATAAATCAAGTATCTGATCATTTTAGATAGTCAGATGACAAATGAATCATAATTAGCACATTTTATCTAGTGTGGCACTAAATAGTGCCCACTTGACAGTGTGCCCAATCTCTCTAGACCTTTACCACTTTTCTCCCTTCTACATAAGTACATGGGAGGCCAGCAGATGATCATAAATCCCCAATTAATCTGCTCTAATTCCCATGACCACCCTTCAGGGTAGGAAGGAGTCCTCTCCTGATTGTGGGGATCAGGGGAGAGGCTCAGAAAGGTGAGGTGGTATGCTCAAGGGCACACTGCCAGGAAGAGGAAGAGCTGGGATCAGAACCAGAATCTGTCAAACACTAAAAGGCCCATCATTCCTCCACTATTTTAGGGCTAATTCTAAATTTAAGCATGTATCTTGATTTATCTAATTATTCCCAAAACATAACAATGACATCAAAAGCATAAATAACCATGGACCCATAAAATATTTATCAACAAAGATCTGACAAGATTTCTCCATTAATGGAGGGGATTTGATTTTTCAAAAAAGCCAAACAAAACAAACAACCCTCACCCCCACAACTCCAGAGTAGATTTTTGCTTAATTCTGTAACAAGTTCTTTCTCAAATCCCAACACAATAGATGCAAGGTCAGACAACTGGTAAGGATGAGGCCCAAGCACTCACCAGCCTAACACTGGCTTTAGCTCCTATGCACTTGGCAGTCCAGGCCCAGGAATGGGAACTTGAGATGTTTCCAGAGCAAAGAGAGCAGAGTGTCCATTTGTTCAGGCAGACAGCAAAGCAGTGATCAGTACAACTCTCCAGCAACAGCAAAGCAAAGTTGGACACATGCAAAAAGAGAACGCAGGACCACTCCACATATCCACAAACTAGGCAAGCTAATCAGAACAAAAGGGATAGTACTCAGGAAGCAAACGAGTACATGCCAATTAGTTCTACAGCCTCTTATATATTTTTCATCGAGCCAAGATCATTCAATCATAGTGAATTATTAAAAATTGATATGAATAGTTGATCCCCTCACGTTACAATTTCTTTTTGTCATCTTCACCTCCATGTCCTATCTGTACTCTATGTATGCTCTTAATATATATTCTCTAAAACTACTTTCAGGTCAACTGGGGAAGGACACTACTTGTTCCTCCCTGCAATCATCACTCCAGGTCATGACCCACCATGCTTCCTCTTAACAAATTATTCAATGTCCGATCTACCCTTTGTACTAATACCTGTATTTGTGTAGAATGTCCCATATTTCCAGAGCCCTTTCACACTGTCTGTTTCAGGAATGCTCATAAATTCTATGTACCATATAAATATCGACTATGCTACAGTAGGCGACTGCCCCACTAATTGGCTCTCATTTTCTCCTCCATCTACTCCAACTACGCCTCATTCCCTTAGAACATTCTTAGCAACCTTCATCTTGACAAAGCTAGCAGTCAACTGACTGCTTTTCTCTTTCTAGGCATCCAAGGCCGAGGCACACACTCTTCTGGGCCTCCTCATGGCCCACTGGCCATCCTTTCTCAGCATCTGAGTGGCTCCCTCTTCTCTCAACTGTGGAGAGGCCCTCTTCTGGTCCCCTTCTCTCTATGACATGTATTTTCTCCTTAGGTGACTCTATTCAGTTATGTGGCTTTAAATACAATTGTCTAACACAAGGATGGTTCTCAAGTTTTTATTCCATTCCATACATTCTGTACCTCCACACCTATTTGATCCACCACCAAGGTTCTGAGTGCTTGTTACTTTTCTAATTTCTATCACCTTTGAGCAAATCAAGAGGAATTAGATGGCATAGAGGTAGGAAAGCCAGCATTAATTGCAAAGAATAGACCACAAAATTTAGGACACAGTTAAGAAGGAATGTTTCTAAAAATTCAAAATTAATTTCATAATGAAAATTCTTAAAATACCCAGTGATTAAAACTAATTTTCTGTAAAATCTGATTCATTTCTTGCATTTGCAGTGTTTTAATATAAAAGACTTACCCTAAATAGTAACCCTGCCAAGCTCTGGGCAAACAAGTCCTTTATTTGTTTATCCTTTGGCTTCTGCATGACAGCTTCTGTTATCCTGAGTAGTATTTGCAACATCTGCTCCCTGGGCCACCCAAAATAAAAGCTCATATTAATAATCACATCTCCCAAGCACTTTAATTCATAGATATGAGAAATTCTCTTATGAATTCAACAACTTTAATAATCATATATTATTCAAAAGTACTAAGTCTACATGCCAATTACATTAAAATATCATTAAATAAGCTATTTTATGTTACAACAGTTCTAAAAACATGCCTCCCACATCCACACCAATAGGCAGGATAAAACGGAAATCTTCCTACCCCGATTTTTTCCCACTGCAGAAAGGGAGTCAAGATGGTTTTTCTACAACTGTACTAGAGCCTTAAGGGCACTTAGGGAATAGCTGTGCCAGTCTGAACCTATGTAGCACTGTTTAATTTCCCATCCATTGTTTTATTTAACATAAAAGGTCTCCCCACCTGTCTTGTGATAGAATATAAAACTGACTTTCTGGTTGGTCTTCACTCCAGGGACACATACAGTGAGCACCATAGCACAACTGAGCTTCATAGTCCTCTTGCAAGCAGGAAGGGCATGGAAAGGCCATGACTGGACACTAATGGGCACTGTGCTTGTGCCCAAAAAATCCTGACAGTTGGGACAACTACAGTCACAACATCTCAATCCCAATGTGCCAGCATTTTTAAAGTATCTTAAAGAAGGGGCTTTATGTAAAAATTCTTAGAAGTGGGCTGGGGATGTGGTTAAGTGGTAGAGTGCTTACCTAACATGTGTAAGGCCCTAGGTTCAATTGCCAGTACCAAAAAAAAAAAAAAAAAAAAAAAGTCTTGGAACAGTAGCTAACACTGTTAATTATGATAAACAGTGTTTTAGGAAAATGCCAAAGGGCATTTTTCTTTCTTACAGCTAAATTATATTCCTCACATTAAAGTGTCTGTTTGAGTTTTCTTTTTCTGGATTCTGTGGGAACAGAAAACACATTACCTTCTGTGTATAGGTTGGGTCCATTTGTTCTCTGAGGGAAATCACTCGATTTCTGTGAGGTTTTTACACTAACCATTCATTCGTCTTTACTACTTTCTCCTTGGCCTTACAACTCCTTAGTCATAAAACCAAGAATGGGAAGAGTAATCACGATCAGAAAAAGAGATCTCTAAACTATAATTTCTTGATACTTTTCTCCTATCTCTATGTAACAGGACAGCATTTACTCTTAACAATACACGAAAGGGAGAGAAAAGGGAAATTGCATGGAAATGGAGGGAGACCCTCATTGTTATACAAAATTACATATAAGAGGTTGTGAGGGGAATGGGAAAATAAACAAGGAGAGAAATGAATTACAGTAGATGGGGTAGAGGGAGAAGATGGGAGAGGAGGGGAGGGGGGATAGTAGAGGATAGGAAAGGTAGCAGAATACAACAGTTACTAATAGGGCATTATGTAAAAATGTGGATGTGTAACCGATGTGATTCTGCAATCTGTATTTGGGGTAAAAATGGGAGTTCATAACCCACTTGAATCTAATGTATGAAATATGATAAGTCAAGAGCTTTGTAATGTTTTGAACAACCAATAAAAAAAAAAAATACACGATGTTGAATCTCATTAAACTTCTTATAGTATCAATGACTTCTGGAGATTTATTGCCTTCTTTGTACTGGCCCAATTTGATTTCAGTCCTGAAGTTATTTGTTGGCATACATTCTCACTGCACTCTACTCCACATGTTTTCTTATTCCTATAGACTGCCTCTGAACTCTGGAAGCATAGAGAAGGAAGAGTAGCCAAGTCACTTAAGATCTAGGGACAGCAACTCTTAAGAGGACAGTTAGGAGAATAAATGGCAGAGCTGGGGACAGCCTGTTGCTAAGTAGTTAGGGTACCTAGACCCCTGTCAAGTGAGTCTTGACCGCTCATATCATATAATGCTTAAGACAATGGAAAACAATTCCTTCTACACAAGTAGTCACATGCCCATCATGCAAATGTGATGAGAATAAGAGATAGGCCCAGTTTCAGATAAAACCTTGGTGAAGGGAATTGCTGTTAGAAAGTATGAAACTGACTGAAGCAACGGCTGATAAAGACAGAGTGAATTCAATTTAGGAACCTATGAAAGCTTGGAGAGCCATGGAATTTCCATGCAGACTTTTCTGGAAGAAAGTGGCCATGAAAAGCTCTACAATTTCAAAAATCTTTCTAACAGTGACAAGCTGCCAGTCTGAATCACAGATCAATCCTTTCTATTTCATGAAACACTGACTGTTAGTCACTCCTCCTCAAAGGAGAAGTACTAGAAGAATACAATGTGAACAGACATGTGCCCGAAAGGGGAGTAAAGGTTTTCCTGCATCTTTTATTATTTATTTTATTTTTACCATCTCACACAGGCAGTACTTGTACCCATTCACACATCAGCTATTCATTTTATTCATTTTTATTGAAGCAATAAAAATCAGTTTACAGAGTTTCAAGGCAATTAACCTCTTCTGGACTTATGAAGAAGGATATTATAAAGCACTGCTTTTTCACAAAACTGTTTGATGACAGTTTATAATGGAAAAACCTACCACTAAGTAATATGACTACTTTTAGTTCAAGAGCATTTTTAAAAAGAATAATGAAAATAAATGAACTATCAAAGTACTGGGTACTTACCTTCTTCATAATTCACAGAAACTGCTCCAAAAGACTGATTATCATCTTATTGTTAACTTGGTTACATCATTAAATAAATGGAAACCTTAACATTTCAATTATGCTGAAAAATAGAAACATCTGTTTTACAATATTAATTAATTTGAAATAAACTTACCATGTCTTTTTATTCATTGTAAGCTCCATTATCATGCGCCTAAAAATAATCAAAACAGCTTTACAAGCATCAACTTGTTCTTTTAAAAGCATGGGAACTTCAGCACATGGTTCCAGCAAGAAAACGTTTGCAGCATTTGTCAGAAATACCTTAAAAATCAATAACTATACATTAGAAGATATAATTAACCATATACATCTGAACAAATTTTGCCTACAGATAATAATATTAATCACCTACTATTGAATCACCTTTAAGATATCTGTTTCAATAAGGCAAGCAAGATACTAACATATACTCAAGACATTTTTAGTTCATCCCTTAGAATCACTTCAATAGACACCTTTCAAGACCTTTGCCTAGGAGGAAAAATGCTATTACATATAACTGGTGTAATTTAAAAAATTTTATGAGTTATAAAAGATTTGAAGACTTCTTTTTGACATCTTCTTAACAGAAAAAAGGAAAAACAAGAATCACTGCATTTAGGTGAAAAAAATTTAGAGTAGAGGGAAGGTAGATAAAGAGAGCCTATGGACAGACACAGGATTATGACAGAACTATGTGATTTTTTATTGATTCTCCAGGCACATGGACTCCTGCTTCCTGAGGAGCGCGGCTAGCACCACCCAAGAAAGGTGTCAACCTTGAGGAACAACAGTGTGCCCAGAAACAGACAAGGCCATATGAACCACACTGCACATCTTCAAGAAACATTTTTTTAACTGTATAAAGATATTATGTAGTAGAATATAAAATAATATAAAACAGATTACAAATAAAATATACATAATAATCAGCTGACTACTCCATGCTCTACCCTAGTCTGTTAAAATCCCAAGTTCACCATCCTTTACCAGCAGGGTATCTCAGGAAAAAATGACCCTGGTTCCTATGTAGAGAGTTACTACTTGGAAACACACAGTAAAATGCAGATGACACTAGTGGCCCATCAATCTCAGATATTCTGAGTTGTCAATCTGCTGATGAGGATAGATCGGCTTCATCTATCTAAAGATATATTCCTTCTTAGGGCTCCTTTATGTGCAACAGTACAAATACACAAACAGTGCTTCTCTGGCTCACTAGTGGATGGATTTCAAAATAAATATACAGATCCAATGATTAATATTAAAAATACTCCATGCCTGACTTCTACATGGGATGCCCAATTGGATATAACTATAAACTCGGGCGAAAGAAAGCTAGGGAGCCAGGGAACAGGGGAATAAGAGGTACCCTATATTTTCACTTATACTCCTAATTGTCTTCAAGCTATATAGGACCTTAGAGGTAATCTCCCAATCTCCATTTCTTTAATAAAAGTCCTGAGATCTAGGGAAGTTAAATAAGGAGCCAAAACTGTTCTTTCCAATGTTTCCAAATCGTATGGGCTCTACTTCACATGTTCATTCAGACATATAGCCAAAAGCTATTACATTAGTCATTGTTCTTTATAAATATAGGCGATTTTTAAGAGGAATATTACTTATAAGATATATAATCACCAAACTTGCCTTACAAATTAGCATCCAAGTAACTTCTCCCATGTATTTGAAAGAAACTTTTAAATCTCAGACATTTCACATTTACTGTGTAATAACTTCTCTCATAAAACTGCAAACAGTTCTCATGTCTTTTTGACTAGGAAAAAATAACTTTAACAATTATAGCTGGAAACTAAATAGAAAATTAGAATAAGAATTTAGAAGCTAAATGGTAAAATACTACCAGGTGGCTAAAAATATAACCACATTTAATATGATATTATTCCTGCTAAACAATATTCTCAAAATGATTCCTCCAACTGGGGAGGGGGGTCTTCCTGTCCTGGTCAGCAGCATACCTGCAGCATAGCCTGGGCACCAGCTTTCACATTTGTATTGTCCTCTTCTGTCACACATCCTCTGCTCATGGCACTTGTGAAAGAGTATGTGCGTCCCCAACTGGAAGATCGTTTATGACCAGAATTTTCAGACGAGACCTTCAGAAAATAACAATCCATTAACAAAGTGCAAAGAAGCATATGTTTGAGCATTTAATTTCTTTTCTTTCTGGGTTTTTTTTTTTTTTTTCCAGTACTGGGGATTTAACCAGGCCCTTGTGCATACTAGGCAAGCACTCTACCACTGAACTATGCCCCAACTCAACACATTTAATTTCTTACATCCGTTGAAATTCACAAGAAAACAGGTTCTGAGAGAGCAATTTTTTTTCTGTTTAGGAAAATATGATCTCTATTTGTTCGCCACTCTACTTCTAGCACCCAAAATAGTGGATATCTCTTAGTATATGCTGAAGGAATGAGTCATGTTTGTCTAATGCCTGAGGGAGCAAAAGAGACAGGCCTCTAAAATACACAAATTTCATTTGTTTGCTTACTCATTTCAATATCATGACTAGTTATTAAAGTGATTTCAACAATACAGAAACATAAAATTATGGAATTAATACAGATATTTAAAAGTAATATGGCTTTGATTAAGAATTTTAAATATTTTAAATTAGTTTCAAAACAGCATGCCAGAAATATAAATATGACTTAAGTTTCTTTTGTGTTTCAGGAAGGGTTGCACCTATGGTTTTAGATTTATCCAACCTCTTGCTTTATCTAATATGGACAGCAGCCCTTCAGGAGGACAGCATTCAGTGCTCCTTCTTGATGGTGCAGGCAACACTTGCTATTTATTTGGCTAGTCCTTTCAAATGTTTAACACCCAATTGCTTCTTGTACAGTTTAATGCACAAGAAAATTCTGAAAAAAACATTCTAAATTTAGTTCCTCCAAATGCTATTTATTTAAACAAGTTGAGGAGAAAGCAGTGTCTTCTTTAGTTTCACACAGAGACCTGTGAAATATGATGGCTTGTTAAACAACCCTCTTAGAACACTGACTAACAATGACACCATGCATATGGCCCTAGCCTGAGGTTTAGGAGACGACTGTGATATAGATCAGAACACAGAGGATGTCTCTTTGAAGCAGGTCCTCACAGAACTCGTCTACTCATCAAACAGCATATGAGATCTGCCTGCCTGTGTCCCACTAAGTGGGACTCTTGACTGAGCAGATTTTCTTTGCTAAAATATATATACTCCCAACTCAAAAGACAGGCACTATATTTACCTCCTTGTTGTCAGTCTCTGAAAATCCTAATTTTTCAGCATCTTCTTGGGCAACATCTTTTTTATCTGGTTCCTCCATGAACACAGGTTTGTCCTGCAGGATCCACATTCTGTACACTTGAACTACTTTTCTTGTTACAGCTATTTCACAGGAAGGCAGCAAAAATGCCTGAAAGGAAAAGAGAAAACTCCCTTTAACTCTACCTGAGGTCAGATCACTTAACAGACATTTCCAGTGACCATCACTAATTTCAGAAAAAGAGGTTGTAAATATACCACAAAAGTCCACACATCTCTGTGTGGACTTTTAAAGAACAGAAGATGTTCTCATAACTGGGCCAGGAAACATAATGAAGTTTAAAAACAACTTCTATATTCTGAGTCATATTTCCACACACACAAAAAAACCAAATCATACCTGTAAAGATTTTTTGATTGTCACATGTTCAGTGACATCACATTGATGGCTTGAATTGGCCCGGGTTGGAGTACTTATAACACAGCACTACAAATCATTATTTTGCTTTATTTGTTTAATCTTTGCGTTTTGCTGGCCTTTTTTTTCCCCCTTCTTTTCCTTTCTTCTCAGCTTTCAACATCAGAATGACACTAAGTACAGCTGCCACTATTAATAAGAGCCACTGGCCACTTGTTAGCATTATGCATACTTATAAGCACTTTATAGTATTAAAGAACCACCTTACATATTTGCACATAAGGCTTTTGAATTAATGTGATCAGATTCCGGAAATATAGGATTTAAAGGGGAAATTAATTTGCCTTTTGCTTTTCAAGTTTAAGAGCTATTTTTGCATGCAAGGTGGGCAGGAAAAATAGGTACCCCAAATTTGATGACTGCTTTAATGTCACAGATAATAACACTAAGCCTCAGAGTACTAAGGATAATTTCCAAAGGTTCTAAAGTTAGTAATCCTCAAATTCAGGTCTTTATATCAAGTCTCTGGGACTTGTTTTTATAGCAATCTTAAGGTTCCTGCCAGAGGATGCCATTATAAGCAGATTTCACTTTAACATGGATGCATGCTTTTATGGTTTGGATATGAGCTGTCTCCCAAAAAGGTCATGTTAGCTGATATAGGGGTGTTCAGAAGTGACATGATTATGAGAGTTGTGGACTAATCCATTTCATGGATTAATAATTTAAATGGATAAATGAGTGGTAACTGCAGGCATGTGGAGCATGGTTGGAGGAAGTACGTCACTGGGGGCATGCCCTTAAGGATTATATTTTTGTCCCTGGCTCCTTGCTCTCTTATTTCCAACTGCCATGAGATGAGAAGTTTCCCTCCACCAAGCCCTTCCACCTCAGGCCCAGAGTAGGAGTCAACTGACTATTGACTGAGACCTCTAAAACCATGCGCCCAAGTAAACTTTTTTCCTCTAAGTTGTTCTTGTCTGGTATTTTGGTCACAGCAATAAAAAGATAACATATATACAATTTGTAAATTTCCATGGGTGATGGTTACATCATATCAAATTCTAGAACAGAGGAGTTTGTGTTATAATAAGACTATAATGTATCAATGTATCAAATATACTGAGGTACAGTTCAAGGAAGCTTAACACACACACACACACACACACACACACACACACAAATGACCAAGTACAAGGGTATCCCATTCTAATGATCTTCCTGAAATTTTATTACAAAAATTTTCACACTTATAGATTTTTACAGTGAATGCTCATATAATCACTGCCTTGATTCCACCATAAGACACTGCTGTATTTGCTTTTTCACACATTTATCTGTGAATTTACCCCTTTTACATAACTTTCATTAAATCTACTTTATATTTGATGCATTTCAGTTAACTGCAAACACTGGTACTCTCTTCATCCATCAACTCTTCAGCATGCATATCACTGACTAGAGCTCAACATTACTTTATTAGGTAAAATTTACAAACAATGAAATGCAAAAATCTTAAGAAAACTATTGAATCAGTTTTGACAAATATAGACAACCATGAATCTTAAGAAAACTATTGAATCAGTTTTGACAAATATAGACAACCATGTAACTCAAGTCCAATATAAAAGTATGGTACATTGTCCTACTCCTGGAAAGCAAATAATAACTCCTTAAAAAGAAAATAAAATCATGGTAAACCAAAAATTATTTCTACGAACAACCTAGTTAATATCATATATAACATATTAATAAAAATCAGAAATATGAGCAAAGATGTCAATTCAAACAAAACCACAATTTAAAGAATTGACAATAGTTTAAAAACATAGAATATCTAAGTAATGAGAATATCAAAAACTGAAGTAAATAAAACTTTAAAATAAAATAACCAAAAGTAATAACTCAGTGTATATCCACATATACAAAATAGACACAGTTGAAGAAAACACTGGGAGAAATATCAGAGGAAAATATCCAGAATGAAGCAAGGAAAAACAAAAGATATTGCTTCTTATTTATACACGCTTTTGGAGAGAAAATACAATGAAAAGGTTACTCTATATGCATGGTTTGAAGGAAGAAAAAAAAAAGAAAATAATATTAGAAGAAAGAACGGCTGAGAGTTTTGCAGAATTGGTGAATGGTATCAATCCACAGATTCAAGAATCACATACACACACAAAAAAATCAAGATGAATACAAAGCATATTACCATAAAAGCAATGAAAATCAAAAATAATCCAAGAATTTTAAAGGAGACAGAGACCAGGTGTGGTGGCAGACATCTGTAATGCCAGCAATTTGGGAGGCTGAGGCAGGAAGTTCGAGAGCAACTTAGGGAGACCCTGTCTCAAAATAAGAAGTATAAAGGATTGGCTAGGTAGCTCAGTGGTTAAGTGCCCTAGATCCAATCCCCAGTACCGGGGGGAAAAAAAAAGAGGGAAAAAAGACATTTCCTCCAAAGTAAAGACTACACGACTTACCATGACTTCTCAAGTGGAAGCCACTGAACAGTAATGAGTTATAAACAATGAACAGTAATGAACAAAATTATTTGAAGTTCAGAAAGCAAATAGTTAATAATGGTAGAATTTTACACCCAGAAATAATATACTTCAAAAATGAAAGCAAAATACAGACATTTTCAGATAAGAGAAATGTGTTACCAAAACACATGAACTAAGGTAAATATTAAAAAATTATCCCCTGGGCAGAACCAAATTATCCTCAGTCAGAGATTAGGGAAAAAATAAAATATAACAAAAGGGATTTGTATAAATGCAGATAGTAAAGTATATGATGATATATATGAATAACTGGATAAAATGATGATGATGTTTCTGAAATATATAAATTAAAGAATTGACAATAGTTTAAAACATAGAATATATATATTCTACACATAAAATAGAATTTGAATAGATAACAAAGGCAGGAAAACTGAGAAGGAATGAATAGAACTAAAAATTATTAATTACGTTGAAGTTATACTAAATTTAAGTTAGGGATACATGTTGTTAATCATTAAAATAACTACAAATTAGTATAATACTACTAATCTAATTAGAGGAGAAAAATGATATACTAAAAACATGAAAACTGAAAGAACTAAACACAATTAAAAAGTAAAATGGCAGACACCACACTTAAACCCAATAGAAGCAGTTGCTGTGTTACATGTGAATGGAATAATGTTCCAATTAAAAGGCAGAGGTTATAACATTGGATTTAAAAAACAATTCAAGGGCTGAGGATATAGCTTAGTGGTAGAGGGCTTACTTAGCAAGCATGGGGCCCTATACTCAATGCCAGTACCACAAGAAAAAAATGAAAAACATTTATTCATGATTCATAAGAGAATAACCAAAACATATGGATATGGGGAGGTTGAAAGTCAAAAGGAAAAATGTATAGCATGTGAACATTAACCAAAAGAAAACTGGCAGAGCTATATTAAGAATTTGAGGCAATATTAAAAAAAAAAAAAAAAAAAGCATTACTAAAGAGAGAAGCTGCTTTTTTGGGAGGGGGAAGCCAGGGATTGAACTCTAAGGGGCTTAACCACTGAGCCGCATCCCCAGCCCTTTTTAAAATATTTTATTTAGAAACAGGGTCTCGTTGACTTGCTTAGGGCCTCGCTAGAAGTTTCTTAAATTCGATACAGAGGAACATACAACAATTCTAAATTTGAACTGCAGCTAATGTTTTGCCAAAAATACAGCAAACACTGATAGACTTTCAAGGGGAAAAAAGGGAAATTCATTATCATAACAGTTTACTCTCAGCAACTAGAACAGCAAACAAAAAAGAATGCATAAGCCATTCTCACTAGACTCTCCATGTCTCCCACTCTTACGGTTCTCACTTCTGTGTCTCTGAGGTAAAATCAGAACAGTTTCTTCATCCATTTTATTATATAGAGCTGCATCTAATCTGCTATTAAACTTACCCACTGTGGTTTTCTTTTAACATTCCAATTATTAAATGTTTTTTTCAACATTTCAGAAATTCTATTTTCTCCTGAACAAATATGAATTGGTCATGTATTGCAGTTTCTTGTTTACTGCAACATTTTCAAACTTGTCTTTAAATTATTTAAAAATGTCAAATCTACTAATTCTATAATTTCAATTATATAACTGAAGTCCTTATGAGGTTTTCCTGCATCTGAATTGTATGACTAAAAATGTTCTGGCTTACAAATTCCTAAATGAAAGAAAACCAATATTATTAAACCCAGCTCAGCTGCTGATCACATGTTAAAAGCGAAAGAAAAACATTTGCCATCTTAAAAGAACTCATGGAACAGAGTTCCAGACACCCTATTGAAAATACTCAATGACAAACCAAGGCAAACCACAAAGTCAATCAAAGCAAGTATTTTAGAACTATGGAACCAAGAGGAATGATCTACTAAAACCAGAACCAAGTCTAAACAACTCTGTACCTTTACATTCCAAAATCAATTTCAAACGATGAGATAAATTTACACTATAATAAAGTTAGCAGACGGAGAGAGGGGGCTGAAGAAAATATAAGGCTGCTAATTTCATATTTCATAACAGGAATTCAATAGCGCTACCTAAAATTATAACATGTAGTTAAAACATTATTCCAAATCAGGCAGCGTGGTGCACATCTATAATCCCAGTAAATTGGGAGGCTGAGACAGGAGGATCACAAGTTTGAGGCCAGCCTGGACCACTTGGAGAGACCCAATTTCAAACTAAAATTTTAAAAAGGGATGCAGATGGAGCTCAGGGACAGAACACTCCCAGATTACAGCCCTGGTGCCACCAAAAAAACCAAAAAACAAAAACCAAAAAAACTCTTGAGGAATTAAAGATTCCACTGTCATATTTTCTCAGTCCCCATCCTGACCCCTGGCACTTGTACTTATCTACCCTCGCCTTGATCTCAGTTGAAATCTGTCCTGTTCCACTTTTACCTGTCCATGCACATGGTTGCCTGCCCATTTCATCTCTGCTTGCCTACCTGTCCATTTGCACTTGTCTGCCTTTTTGCATCTCCTATCTGAACTTTCCCACCAACCTACTTAATTCCATATTTGAGAGTTGGACTGTTTACACTTATCTGTCTGATCTTCTATGTATGACTTCTGGTATGTTTATGCTTTCAGGTCCCCTGACACCCTCTTGCCCACCTGCCAGCCTGCTTACATCCTTTCTTATCCAGCTGCTCTCTGCAGGTGTCTCATCTATTTAGATAGCAAGGTCAATAAACACACATACACATACTGAAATACTTAGAATGATATTCTTCTAACATTAATGATGATCACTTAGATGGTGGTGTTTTCAGCAATTTGTTTTTGCTTTCTCTTCCATAATTATAGACTGTATTTATCTAATGAACATATTTTTAATAAAATTATTCTTTAAAATAAAATCAATATACAAAACAACCCCATGAATAAACATCCTTTAGAACAATGCTTCAAACTATTCAGATCATTACCTAAGCAAGGCATGTTACAGGATATATGCATCTATATAGAGAGAGTATTACATAAATAAATCATGTTTCACAGAGAAATACTAATCCTTGTAACATGAAGTACATTTTGGAATGTTTTGATCTATTTTATTATTTAAAAAATAAAACTGGATTTAACTCACCCAGCTGATTTCATGACCTATACAAAGGGGCACAACAGTTTTTCATCTAACAGAAAAACTCTAGTTAAAAAACAGTTTCCAGTGGATCCACCCAGTGACCATAATTGCTCACACTTAAGCACTCTACCACTGCCTGTCTTTCCTATTGGGGGTAGGAGAGATGGACGCTGTCCTGAACATTGCTGAATTTCATCTTTCTTCAATTACTATTTCTACTACTTCAAGTTGCTGAACCATCCTGTATCAGTGACTTGCACCACCTGATCCTTTAGCCCCTGCCGCAAACCTTCCTGTCTGCCTTTAATCTCATATAACAAGGGGACATCTGATCTTCCACCATCTCACACTATTCTCTGCAGTATATGCATATATATCATCTCCCAACTGAAAATATGCATTTCTTGAATGTCCATTTTAAACTTTAATATCCTTTAGACTTAAATAGTTTCTGAATATCTTTATTTAAAATTGAAAAACAAATTATTATGAAAGAAATCACATTTTGTCTTCTGTATAAGAAAAACCATCATTAACCAAGAAAGAGCAATAAATGCAATTTAAAAACCCATGTGGAGGGTTCTCCTTGCTCTGTCAGAGGGCTCTAGCTTAGAATTTCTCCACAAAAGCACTACTGCCATGTTGGGCTGGACAGTTCACTGTTGTGATGGTAATTAAGAATGAGGGCTGTTCTGTGCATTGCAGAATATTTAACAACATTCTGACTGCTACCCACTACATGTCAGTACCACCCCTTCTCTGTTATCATGATCAAAATAGTCTCCAGACATTGTTCAGTGTGTCCCCCCACCAAAAGGGGTAGGGGGCAATATCAGCCCTGGCTGCAAATCTCTGATGTCACTTGTGGCTGCTAATTTCTTCCCTCCCTTGCTTACACCTCTTTTCTTGTTTACTTTCTCTTCCCAGCACCTTTCCATTTACCAGTTTTTATTTTATGTCTCAGCCTCAGCGCTCCTTTCTCTCCTTTTATTCCCCTCCCCATCCAGCTTTTTCTCTTGTCATAAATACTTCTCATGTGTTACTTTTCCTTTCTCAGGAACGTACATTTTACAGGACTCCCTGAAGCCCTGGGAACAAACCAGCCTCTTTGTTATTAGGTCCACTTGTTTCTGGGTACTCAGGCACTGACCACCTCCTCTGACTTTATTTAGTTGCTATGGAAACATTAAGATATTGGTTGAGTTTTCTTTCCTTATAAAGGAATGTTTCAAAAACAAAACTTTTTAAAAAAAAAATCACAAAAAAAGCCTTTTTATGGATCACAAAAAGTAGGATTTCATGGATCATTACTGACTTCTATAATTCAGCCCAACTCATCAACAGTCTTTCTTGGAATGTTATAAGTAAAAAAACTGTGAATTTGGAATATCTTCCAAAGGTCCATGCATTTAATAAAAGTTTTGTCGGGGCTGGGGTTGTGGCTTAGCGGCAGAGTGCTTGCCTAGCATGTGTGAGCCACTGGGTTCGATCCTCAGAAACACATAAAAAATAAAAATAAAAAATAAAGGTATTGTGTCCAACTACAACTAAAAAAAATATTTTAAAAAAATAAATAAAAGCTTTGTCTGCAGTTTGGCACTATGGGAAGGTGGTAGAAACTCTTCAGGAAGTGTGCCCTGGAGGAAGGTTTTAGTCACCACTAGAGTCATGCCTACAAAGGGGATTGTGAGACCCTGGACTCTTCCTCTTTCTCTATTTTTCACACCCAGCCATGAAGTGAACAGGACTCCTCTGCCTCCTGCTCTTGCCATAATGTACTGTGCTGCCACAGGGATAAAGTGAGAGAGCCAACTGGTCATGGACTAACACCTCCAAAACTATAAGCTAAAATAAACCTTTTATCTTTTCAAATCTATTTATCTCAGGTATTTTCTAGAGTAACAGGAAGCTGGCTAATACAAGCAAGAACAAAAATTTCTTCAGTTTCATAAACTGATAACACATGCATAAGCACACACTAACCTGGCGAAATACTTCATTCACAAAATTGACATAACCACGTGTTGACAAGAGAATCCGCTGCACCATTTCATACACCGTTCGGTACTCTTCTTCAATGCTACAAAGGCTGGTGTTGCTGAGTCTTCGGTCAGACAAGGTGCTGCTGTTAGAATGGTTTTTGTCCTGCTCTGTTGGCCCACTGCTATCCAACTCTGGCACCCTCTCTTGTACTGCTCCACCACCAACAGTCTGGAAGAAAGTCATTACATTTCTCAGTGATTCACATCCTACTCAAAGGCAGCTAGCAAAACTTAAGAATTGCCTTTTTGTTTTTGTTTTGGTTGGTGCTTGGTATTAAACCCAGGGCATCTTTTGTGCTAAGAATGAACTTTACTACTGAGATATGCCCCTTACCTCACGTCTTACCTTGTTTTAAAATAATCTAGTTACCAACCAATTTCACAGGGCACAGTAAGCCAAAACCTAGTTACTGCTTAAAGCACACACTCTGGAACCTATAGTTACCCATTACCTAATTAACCGACTAATTCTTCCTCAATTCAGTTATTTTAATAAGAAAACTAGTAAGTTATTTCAGGAAAGAGGGCTGTGAAATTTTATCACCTAAAAAGTTGAATTTGCGTTTGTAAAATCATAGAATAAATTAATGCACAAATACATATGTATTATCATCATGTTAGGTCTCCAGACATCAGCATTTACTCTAAGGTCACAGAAATTTGAAAATGCAAGGGACTTCTTACAGCAACAAGATTGGAAGGCATCATGTGACTCATAAACCTAAATGACCTTGATGGAGGACTGCATAACCTTTAAAGGGTACTCAGAATCTCGGTCAAATTTAACTAAAATGTTTACAAAATTTTAAGTATTGAGAAAACATTATGAGCACAAAGGAATAAAGTAATTCATGTGATGATTTACAAAGCTAATATTGATATTTGCTCTGATTTCTCCATAGAATGAAAGGTTTCCTTCAAACATAAGCAGGTATAATTTTACTTCATCTTCATAAGCAATATTATTATTTTTAAAAGTCAGAAATATATAATGCAAATACAACTAAAATTTTACATACTGGACATACTTTTTACAAGACATGGTAAGACATGAATAGTACAAAACTAATTTCAGAACTACTATGCAACATGAAAATAAAACAATACCCAATGGTAATCTCTAGGGTAAATTAGAGGAAGGTTAATATTTATAGTAATTTTTCTATTCATACCTTAGTTATTAAGCCTTAGTTATTAAGGCTTATCAAAGACCCTCCCTATCACCCTGTGATATACTGCCCTATTGAAACTCTTTCATCTCTTTGAAAGATCTACTGTCTTCCGTGGAAAAATAAAATTCTACATATTTTATTTCTTTTTTTATCTGGAATGACCCAAGGATGAGATGAATATGCTCTGGAAATAGGTCCACAAAAAGTGTCAAAAGACTTGCTTCTGTGGATTTCTACTTTAAGTCACTAAGACAAGTCACTTAACTTCATTTGAACTTCCTCCTTCCTTCTTCCTCCACTCCTCCTGTCCTTCCTTCCAGACCCAGGGTCTTGCTATGTTGCCAAAGCTGATCTCAAACTCCTGGAATCAATTGATCATCCCACATTAGCCTCCTAAGTAATTAGGACTACAGGCATGTGAACCATTCCCTACAATTTTTTTTTTAATTTCTTAAAAAAAATTATAGAGCATGGAGAATCTTAGACTAGGACGAATGTCTCTTATGGCTTAAAAACCTATGACTTTTTGACAGCTATTTTTCCCACAGTCTAAAAAGAAAGCAACATGTACATGTGCAGAAAATTAAAGATTATTGCACATCTCTTTCTGTAGACAGGTGAACAGCCCAATGTGCAAATACATTTGTATAATCATTACTTTAGGTTTTCACCCTCAGCATGTTCTATGTGGCCCCCTTCCTTTTCTCTGCTAAACTGCATTATACCTTTCACCAGTGGAAAGAGTAGAATAGACCTGTGCCAGTGTCACTCAGGCCCGGGGGCTAATAGTTACAATTTCCATCTCTTGAAATATTTTGCTCTTGGAGTCCCAAGAAAGTAAGAATTTCAACTACCCTGCTAGTGAGACAGGATGGAAAGGAGTCCGAGATGAACCCAAATTTCCTTCCAACTGGCCCAACTGAAGTAACAGGCATGTGAATGAAGTCATCTTGGATCCTCCAGATTAATCAGCTTTCAGCTAAAGATTTCTACCCGGTGTAGACTGGATTTAAAAAAAAAGATCCAACAATATGCTGCCTACAGGAGACTCATCTGATAGGAAAAGACATACAAAGACTGAAGGTGAAAGGTTGGGAAAAATCATACCACTCACATGGACCTCAGAAGCAAGCAGGGGTGTCCATACTCATATCAAATAAAATAGACTTCAAGCCAAAGTTAATCAAAAGGGATAAAGAAGGACACTACATACTGCTCAAGGGAACCATTCACCAACAAGACGTAACAATCATTGATATATATGCCCCAAACAATGGTGCAGCTATGTTCATCAAACAAACTCTTCTCAAGTTCAAGAGTCAAATAGATCACAACACAATAATCATGGGAGATTTTAACACACCTCTCTCACCACTGAACAGATCTTCCAAACAAACGTTGAATAACGAAACTATAGAACTCAATAGCACAATTAATAACTTAGACTTAATTGACATATGTAGAATATATCAACCAATATCACGCAGATATACACTTTTTTCTCAGCAGCACATGGATCCTTCTCAAAAATAGACCATATATTATGCCACAGGGCAACTCTTAGCAAATACAAAGGAGTAGAGATATTACCATGCATTTTATCTGATCATAATGAAATGAAATTGGAAATCAACGATAAAATAATGAAGAAAAATTTCTACATCACATGGAGAATGAACAATATGCTATTGAATGAACAATGGGTTACAGAAGACATCAAGAAGGAAATTAAAAAATTCTTAGAGGTAAATGAAAACACAGATACAACATATCAAAATCTCTAGGACACTATGAAAGTAGTACTAAGAGGAAAATTCATTTCATGGAGTTCATTCCTTAAAAGAAGAAAAAGCCAACAAATAAATGACCTCAGACTACATCTCAAAGCCCTAGAAAAAGAACAAATCAGCAGCAAATGCAGTAGAAGGCAAGAAATAATTAAAATCAGAGATGAAATCAAAACAAAAGAAATAATTGAAAAAATTGACAAAACTAAAAAGTTGGTTCTTTGAAAAAATAAACAAAATCGACAGACCCTTAGCCATGTTAATGAAGAGAAGAAGAGAGAGAACCCAAATTAACAAGCATACGGGATGAAAAAGGCAATATCACAACAGACAATATAGAAATAGAGAAGATAATTAGAAATTATTTTGAAACCTTTTACTCTAATAAAATAGAAGATAGTGAAGGCATCGATAAATTCCTTAAGTCATATGATCTGCCCAGATTGAGTCAGGAAGATATATACAACTTAAACAGACCAATATCAAGTGAGGAAATAGAAGAAGCCATCAAAAAATTACCAACCAAGTAAAGCCCAGGACCAGATGGATATACAGCTGAGTTTTACAAGACCTTTAAAGAAGAACTAACACCAATACTGTTCAATCTATTTCAGGAAACAGAAAAAGAGGGAGTACTTCCAAACCCATTCTATGAGGCCAATATCACCCTGATTCCAAAACCAAAGACACCTCAAAGAAAGAAAACTTCAGGCCAATATCTCTAATAAATATAGACGGAAAGCAGTATGGAGATTCCTTGGAAAGCTGGGAATGGAACCACCATTTGACTCAGCTATTCCTCTTCTCAGACTATACCCAAAGGACCTAAAAACAGCATACTACAAGGACACAGCCACATCACTGTTTATAGCAGCACAATTCACAATAGCTAAACTGTGGAGCCAACCTAGATGCCCTTCACTGAATGATTGAAAAAAAAAATGTGGCATTTATACACAATGGAATATTACTCAGCACTAAAAAAATAATAAGATCATGGCATTTGTAGGACATGGATGGCGGTAGAGCAGATTATGCTAAGTGAAGTTGGCCAATCCCCCAAAAAACAAATGCCGAATGTCTTCTCTGATATAAGGGGGGTGACTCAAAATGAGGTAGGGAGGAAGAGCATGGGAAGAAGATTACTTCTAGTTAGGGAAGAGGAGTGGGAGGGAAACGGAGGGAGAAGGAAAATTGCATGGATGGTGGAAGGAGACCCTCATAGTTATACAAAATACATGTATGAAGATATGAATTTGATATCAACATATTTTGTATACAGAGATATGATAAACTGTGGTATAAAGGTGTATTAAGAATTGTAATGCAAATAATAATAATAATAATAGACTCATGTAAAATAAATTTTAAAAAAAAGTAAAAAAAGATTTCTACCCAGTGACCCCAGTTAATGCTAGATGAAACTCTAGATGAAACCATACACTGCCCTACTTCCTTACTCAAACTGTGAAATAATAGGATAAAATGGTTGCTGTTTTAAGCTACTAAATTTGAGATGATTTGTAACATATCAATATGATAAATTTCTTAAATGTTCCTAAAGAATTGTATTTAAAGGTATCAAATCATTTAAAAACAAGCTCTATCAAATGGAACAGAAATAGCATAGATGGATTTCTCATTATCATATAAGACAAAAACTATTTCTCTTAATAAAATGCTTTCCTTAGCCTTTCATGGTTCACAGTCCTGCTTTAAAAGCTACTTTCCAAAATCATCTATATGTTTTGACATTCATAATTATAGTAAGTGGTAAGACTGAAGACAAATTGAATATCTAAGACTACTCATTTCTTGCCCTTTTTCAAAGATTAACATAAATATGAATAGAATTAGTCCTAAAGAGAGTTCATTTTCTACCCATTAGAATCAAGCTAGGATTCTCAATTGTTATTTCATATTAGTTCATTCTCACAGCCAATACAAAGATGACTTTTACTTGTTTGGCATGGGAAAAAGCTTTATTTAGAAAATCAAACATTTATTTGGGTCAGGCCAGCATTGCCAGGGCTCAGACACTGCATGATATAGGTTACCACTTATTTCCTTCCTCTCAACCCTCCTTGATACCTTGGTATCCTTTCAGCACCACAGCTTATGCTCCCAGGCAGGCTTAGAACACCCACACAAAGTAAGTATTAAACAAGGGGATGAAGAAAGCTTTCTGCTGGCAATGCCCATGCCACTCA